GGTTTCTACGAAGTTTTATAGCCTGTGTGTGTGCGGGTGTGTGCGGGTGTGTGCGGGTGTGTGCGGGTGTGTGTGTGTGTGTGTGTGTGTGCGTGCGTGCGCGCGCGTGTGTGTGTGTGTGTGTGTGTGTGTGTGTGTTTGTGTGTGTGTGTGTGTGTTTGTGTGTGTGTGTGTCTGCGTGCGTGCATGTATGTATATATATATATACATACATATATATATATATATATGTGTGTATATATATATATATATATATATGTATGGGGGTACCATGTAGAGATAGATAGCCGGGTGGAGGGATGGATGCATGGATGGATGGAGGGAGGGGTGGACATGCGTTTTAGATGTGAATTGTATCGGCCGGCTCGCAGATTGCGAAAAAAACGAAAGATCAACTCAGATCGCAAAACCCTAAAACCTCCATACCTCCTAAACCCTTAAGCCCGAAGCCCGAAACAGGCCGCAACAACTGCTCCATCGAGAAGCTTCTCAGCTGCGCAACCTGACATCAAGTTCCCCAAAGGCTCCATGTACCCTTATAGTAGAAACTTAAGCCTTAAAGGGTCCCCATAGAGGTACTTTAAGGCCTAAGTATATACTAGATGGGTACATGGAGCCTCAGGGTTCCAACAGTCCCAGAGATTCCATGTACCTACACGGCTCCTCTTCAGGAGGGTTGTTGGTTTAGGGTTTGGGGGTTCCTTTACAGGTTCTATGAGAGTACCATAAGCCTTTAGTTAAGGGTCCATGTACCCATATAGTATAATTATACCTCGGCCCTACAACAGTCCCTGCATAAAAAATACTCTATGAAAAATACAATGAGGCCTTGGGCGGTACTATTATTTCGTGCTCCGAATGATATGCTTGCAAACTTTTCCCAACACCGATAATACGTAGGAAATCTGTATACCTGAAGGTACACATTCCTTCCTCCTTAGGTGCCCTAAACCCTTAACCCCGAACCCTGATTGGAGTTTTTGGGTTGTGGCCAGGTGTGAGGAAGGTGGCTACGAACCCAAAACCCTAAACCCAAATGTCTAAACCCTAGCAAGTGTGAGGGTGGATGCACATTGCCTCAGGAACCCATGAACCCCCCCACGCCCACATGAAGCCCTCTCTTCTTCAACAACCAGGCCCAAAAGAGTTCGAACTTTTTAGGATAGACCTAATATACAAAGCCAAAAGTTTGAAGTTCTCCCTTTGGATATCTAAGAGCCGCAAGAATTTCATATCGAATGCCGAATGAGCACTGCAGAAACTTAGAGTTCCTAGTTGCTGAGTTCCAAACCCCAGAAAAGTGTACACTTTCAGTTTTATAGTAGGCCATATTAACCCAAAAAGTGTAAAGTGTACCCACTCAGCTACTTTGAGTTGGCTCAGGGATGTCGGCAATCGGTAGTATAATCCCTACCTGGGGATCCCAAAACCTACCGTTTTAAGGGTTCTACCCTAAAACTAGGAGGTCACGACCTACTATTTCGTAGGGTTTGGGGTCACAGGTAATCCCTAAACCGTTCTTGATCCCCTCTTGTGCTCTCGCCGGGTATCAGTTTTAATGCCCGACTGGGCTGACACTTTGCCCCCTCAATTGGACCCCTAATCCCTCAAACCCATCCTTCCTGAAGGGCATTGGGTTTGAGAGTTTACGGTCTGAGGATTTCAGGGTTTGGGGTTTAGGGTTTAGGGTTTAGGGGGGTTTAGGGTTCAGGGTTTAGGGTTTGGAGGGTTTTGGGTTTAAGATGTTTTTGACCTACTGCAATAATGAAGCACTGATGAAGGTTAAGGGAGTTGGGTTTGGGTGAGCGCTTGAAGGGGCCTACATCAAACGAGAGCGCAAAAAGGCAAACACGTTTTTCCTGACAACGCTACCAGGAATCGGGTGCCAAGGCTACTAAACCGCTGTTGTTGCAATATGCTTTTAGTACACATCTTAAACATTATTACGGCTAGCTTTAAGTCTTGGTGTTATGGCAACATGGCATCAAAATATCCCGGTCCTGACTTGAGGCACATTCACTTCCAAAAAGTGTCGGTTAGGTGGATCTGAGCAGACTCATTTAGAGAAGCTCACTCTCTACACCCTCTGACTCTGCACCCTTCGTTCAATCCTCAACACTAAAAAGCTCGACACTCTTTTTGCATCCAGGCCTGTTGCAACTCGACGCTCTGAACCTTCGAACCCCCCTTGCCTCCTTGCTGGCTTCTTGTAGCTGCTTCATCGCTGGCTCCAGTCTCCTCGGTTTAGGGTTTCGGGTTTAGGGTTCAGGGTTTAGGGTTCAGGGTTCAGGGTTTAGGGTTAGAGTCAACCACAATCAGCCATAGCCTACACACCCTAGACAACTGGGATCTACATGTTCGCAAAGGGATTTCTGCAATCTGAAACCTCCTAAAGACCTGCAAAGCCCCGAGTCTTGCCTGACCAAGCTTACAGTTGAAAGCACTGGGTCTTGCCCATGACATCCCGGAACAACCGGACAACTCAGAGAAAGATCGAAACAAGGGAGCAACCATATGTAGGTCTTCGCTCGGCTACACCAAACCAACCAGACTCGAAACGACGACCGGTGTCACGGCCCTTCTTGTATGGCACTCTGCGGCCGGAGCCAAATTCGGAATATCCTCCCCAAATAATTTCGAAAAAGATATAAGTTTGAATGCAGAGCCCATGCGACTCAAACGGATAATCCTAACCCCTATCGTTTTATGCCCTGTTAGCCTAAACCCAAAATACTACTTCAACCCGAACCCGTAAGCCCTAAACCCCAGTGGCCAAACCCTGGACATCCCTAAACCGTTAAAGTTAAACCCTACAGCCCTATATCCTAAACCCTGAACGCCCAAAAACTCAAAGTAAACATTGAGGAGTCCTGTCCTTAAAAGGAGATACCTGAGCCCTAAATCTAAAGAGACCCTCAACCCTAAAACCCCTTGCAGAGCCCTTTCTGGATTCCTTTCAGGAACCTGAAAGAGAACCGTTTAGGAAAAAAACCTAAGACCCTAGACCCAAAGTAATCCTAAAAGGTACCGCGTTAGGGTGAATAAAGGACCCGAGCTCCGCGCGCGATGGTCTCGGAAGCCTCTGTTGCCTTGTACTCTGCCTCGGCGTTTAATGTATTCAGGATTTTACGGTCAATAAAGGCTGCAGGTTTAGATGTTTAAGGTTCGCCAAAAGCTTTTGATTTCGGTTTGAAAGTTTCGGATCGTTAGGGTTTAGAGTTTAAGGCCTATAAGGCTTTAGAGCTATGCTTCGAAATGGGGGTCGCAGGGCTCCTCAACGATCCTCACAAATTGGAAGGGGTTTGGGGGTTGTATGGGTTTAAGGGTTTAAAGACCCTGAACCCTCCCTGAACCCTCAACCCTATACCCTAAACCCTATTTAGGGTTCCTAAAAGGGTGATGGGCTTAGGGCTTATGAGTAGATGGTCCTAGGGTGTCAAAAATGAGGCGAACTGCCGTGGGGACCGCCCTAGGGTCATGGGACCAAGAACGGACGTTGTGGATACATGATATAGGAGCCCAATCGTTAGAATAGGGTTTTGAGGTATAGCGTACTATAAAAGGAACCAGAAGTAATGGAGGAGCATGTCCAGGGTTTGGGGGTTTAGGGTTGTTGGCAATTGGAAGGAAAGCCACCACATAGGATGGCTCCATCACACAAAACGCACAACGGTAAACTTCACTTCTTCTAACGCGAGACCACTTCGGATAGCCACCTACAAGACGATCTGGGTCCACATCTGGCCCGAGCGACATCCTCTATTCCCAGAAACTCGCAATATCCCTTAATTAAGGAATATACCTTAAATCTTATTAAGGGTCCTATTGTAATACCTTAAGTCATATAAGGGGTCCTAGTGTAATACCTTAAATCATATTCGGGGTCCTATTGTATTTTAAGGTATATTCCTTCATCCAGGGATATTGGAGTCTCTGGGTTCCTGCATCTCCTCACTCTCAATACGACTGAGCAGGGCCACACACCCTTGATCAGCGGAGTGAGTCACTCCAGGCGCGCAGCGAACCTAGCGAAAGCCTTCCCCATAGGCCCTGCGCACAGCAATCCAGCGGAAGGAAACAGAGTGAGGAAAGAAGGTTTCCAGAAAAGTTGGTTGATGGCAAAGATGATGTGCTTAGGGTTTTGGGTTTAGTAGGGCGTAGGGGGTGCCTAAACCCTAAGCCCTAAACGGTTTAGGGTATTTGATGCCATCCCCCCAAGGCTCCATGTACCCATCTAGTATATACTTAGGCCTTAAAGTACCTCTATGGGGTCCCCTTTAAGGCTTAAGTTTCTACTATAAGGGTACATGGAGCCTTTGGGTGCAGGTTTGGAGGCCTCCCTAAACCCTAAACCCTAAACCCTAAACTCTAAAACCCTAAACCAACTCTGAAGGTCTATGGAACCCTGGGCCGAAAAAACCACTGCCCCAGTATGACAAAGTCGACGCCTCGAGGTTAGGGTTTATAGGGGTTTAGGGTTTAGGATTTAAGGGTTTAGGGGTTTAGTGTTTAGGGTTTAGGGTTTAGGAAGCAATCCAAAACCGCAAACTGAAAAGCACGGAACACCCTAACCCCAAACCTTACGACATCCTAAAATCCGGTTTTGGGTTTAGGGACTTGAAGCCTAAACCGCCACCCGCTCAGCCCAGACGAGTGGACATCTAGGTCTACAACCAAAGCAGAATCTAAGCTCAACCAAAGTGCTTAGACTTTATAAGCCCCGAACCCTAAACATCCCTAAACCTCCAACCCCAAATTATCAACTTACATCTGAGTTGCCATAAACCTTCAATTTTTCGTCGACACGTGAAGAACAAACAAGGCCACATTAGGGAATTAAGGCTCAGGGTTTAAGGTAGTTTGGAGACGTTAGGTGGTCCCTCAACAGGCTCTGAGTAGATGGAGCCTACACTTCCAACATCCTAAACCTCACACCACTAAAAGCCTTATCTATATTGGCAAAACCCTACAAAATAGTAGATTATGACCCATATTAATTCTAGCGTAGACCCCCTACAACAAACAATAGGATTCTGGATCCCCAGCTAACCCCTTTCCTAAACCCTAAACCCTAAACGCTTCATCACTATTCGGATATGACCCAAACTGAGATTGCGACCTGGCCCGCCCTGAGAGATCAGGACTCTTCTTTCCCTAGGCTACGGCTACGGATCCTTAAGATGGCCGCCAGAACGATCAGAATATCCCAGGACCTACCAAGAACTACAAATCCTAAACTCCTACTTGGACCCCAAACAGCCTGCCTTTTTAGGTCCTTATTACAACTTGTTTAGATAAGTCCTCAAAAAGGTAGGTTCTTTGAGGTTAAGGTAAACCATAAAACCTACGAAGTATTCAGGCCTCTGTATTAGGTTGTTTTCTGCGAAGAAGATGTTGAGCCTGAGGGGAATCTAACTGAAGGCTGCAGATGCAGCTGCTGAGTGGTTTGAGGGTTGGGGGTTTCTCTTTCGGGTTTACGGTTAGTGCCATATATACATATGTATATATATATATATGTATATATGTATTGTGTTGTTTTGCTTTTGTTGCGGGGTTCTACGGTGTTACATTCGATCTTAGCGGGAAGCCGAAGGAGTTATCTTGCCCATTTAATCTTCTGCTGAGTGGAAGGTATCAGGATCTGGGTCGTTTGCAGATGCAGGTGTCAGGTTTTGGGCTTAAAAGTTTGGAGCTTCAAAGCTCATGAGCTTTGGGTGTAGGGGTGTTGTATACTCTACTTCGAATCAGGAACCGTAATGAAAGCCTTACTTAGTCATTGAGGCTTTCAAGGACGAGGGATCAACGACAAAGCGGCTGCAATGCCAGAAGCCCTAAACCCTAAACCCCTATAAACCGTAACCCTAAACCCTAAACCCTAAACCCTCAACGCTAAACCCTAAACCCTAACTCAAACCTCAACCCTCAACCCTCAACCCTAAACCCTAAACCGTCCGGGGAAGGCTTCGAGGAACGGGACGCATTGAAGGCTCCGGGACCAGGGGGGAAGGATTTGGGGCCTCATATAGCCCTAACGGTTTAGGGTTTAGGGTCCACGTACCGGTGTAGGGTTTAGGGGTAGGGCTCCTTTAAAGGTTCCTTTAAAGGGTTCTATAAGGGTACTTTAAAGGGTTCTGTAAGGTAATATACGGGTTTAGAGCTTAAGGGTCCATGTACCCAAATAGTATAAGGGTAGGGCTCCTTTAAAGGTTCCTTTAAAGGGTTCTATACGGGTACCATAAAGGTTTAGGGCTTAAGGGTCCATGTACCCAGATAGTATATACATTGGCCCCAAAGTACCTACAAAGGGACTACATGAAGGCCAAAGTATATCTTGTTTGAATACATGGACCCTTAGGGTAGGGGCCTTAATAATTAGAATAGGGTTTGGGGGCGGGGGTTCTTTTAAAGGGTTCCTTAAATGGGTTCTATCAGGTCTACGATAAGGGTTTAGGGTTTAGGGGGCCTCAATAATTAGAATAGGATGTTGGGGCCCAGTATACTATAATTACAATAAGGGTTTGGGGCCCATTATACTATAATTATAATAAGGAGCCACGCTCTCCGTATCT